ATCATTATTGTTTTCAGATTCCATTTAGGATAGAGTAAGCACACACTCTCTTTTCAGACCGAATTCAGCAATTAAACCTCAGACAGCATACATGGAGATCTTTGTGACCACCTAGGAAAGCAAATCACAGAAGGCAGACTGGAGGAGTCAGTAGCACATTAAGAATACCACAGTGGAGTGTTTTCCACTTCTACCCTTCATACTTGGTCTGCTCTCAGGCAGCCTGGGACCTTGCTGAATTCTAGGACATGCCCCACTGTTGGGAGCTGCAAATAAATTGTCCTTTTGTCTGAGCCATTTTTAAGTGAAGGTGTGCACCTCAGAGAACTCTTGGTGTCATCCCATAGATCTGAGGCCTCTCCATTACCTTGGTGACTTCCTACTCAAAGAAATTCTATGATAACAAGGAATTTATTGGTTCAGACAGCCCTATGTTCAAATGCAACTTTCTGGAGGCTGGAAAAAAAAATACCAGGGAGCCCAAAGAGCCTTGAGGCACCAGCTGCCTGAAGGAGGAAGAATTACTGCTCAAGAGATAAATCTCCAATCAGGCCACTTTCCCTAAAGCCTCTCCTTTCTTGTTTATCTTGCAAAAGTTTTCCTCACAATAAATCCCCCTTTGATTTTTTTTTTTTTTTTGCTATAAATAACACTCTAGCAGGCTTTTTCTCTTTTTTAGGGAAGGATCCCTCAGTATTGATCAACCCACCAGACCCCTGCTGTGAAACTATTTTGCATATCTTTATCTCTAAATATTATTTCAGACTTTTGATTTCCCAGCAAGTTCACACATTTGTTTTGTTTACTGATCCCTTGCTGTGCAGGACACAGCAACACCCCACTCTTCTGTATCCTGCAGAAGAAAAGGAATTCCTCATGCTCTGACAAACTTGGAATGTCCACACTTTCTTTTTCTTAGGGTTTTTCTTTCTCCATTCTACTTGATCTTGACTTGGGAAATTGTCTGTGTTCACAGTGGTGGCAGCAGAGACTGTGAAAGCTTTCCTTTCTCATTTGAGGAGATGATTTCCCAAGAGAGTGTCACTTTAAAAAAAAAATACAAGACAATAGTGGAAGACATTACACTCATTATTACACATATACAGCACATTTTTCATAACTCTGTATATAAAGTATGTTCACGCCAAATTATGCCATTATACCTGTACTCGTTTTTTGCATTACAATTCTTAATACTCATATAAACCAAAATTTTTCATATCATTGTTTGTATATAAGTTGTGTTGACACCTAATTCAAATCTTCATACATGTATTTTGAATAATGATGACCATCACATTCTACCATTCTTGCTAATCTCCTCCCCCTTCCTTTCCCTCCCAGAGAGTGTCACTCAATTCTAGTACTTCTATTACTCTGTGTCCTCTTACTATTTGGTGACATCATCATAGGAAATGGGCAGAAGACAAAGGGAAGGCCCAAGGACACACACATAGTTCGAAGGTGTGGAAAGGAATGAGCTTGGAAAAATCATGATGCAAATCAGGCTCAATTCTGAGCTACCCTTGCATCGTTCTGATCCCAGAGAGAATACGAAAGAATTAGGACTAGAAAAGTGCTCACTGATACTCAGCTGACCCCTGTAAATCCCACAATAAAGAAAGATCCAAATGCCATGGCTAAGGGTTTCTAAATTGGTACAATATCAAAACCACAACCCAGAGATTGTTGGTTTAGTCTAAATGAATATATAGTCTACTGAAACAAAAATATCAACATAGGATTTTATTTATTTTATTTTTTTACATTAATTATAGATGACATTTTATTTATTTTTTCTGTATTTTGAATAGACATATCATATCATAATATATAATTAGACATATCCTGTATAAAATACAAGAACACTAGGCACATTAAGAACCAGAAACTCTCAACTGATATTAGGACAATGAACAGATATTCTACTGACCAAATTGGACAACCAATATCATAATAAAGACTGTATTGCAAAGATTCTACACCGATCTTTAAAAATGATGATAGAAATAATGTCAAAGTATCTGTCAATGTGTGGAGAGAGACAAAGTTCTATCAAGGAAACAGAAAATAGAGCAAGCCACAAAGGGGCAGTAACACAGATGAGAGGTATGCTAAAAGGGATTAAGAGAAGATTATCTCTGGAGAATCAAAGAGTAGTGATCTTCATGTCAGGGCAAGGAAACCATTCTATCATATAACACAAAGAGGAAAAAAGCATTATTTTTGCTTATTTAATAAAAATGACTTCCAGTTTCTGGTCTGACATGTCAGAAACTTGCAAATTGTCACAACACACTTTTTACTTTTATACCCTGTAGTCTATTCTCCATATGACAACTATAAAGCACTTGATAGCATTATTGGGCTCATGGAGAACCTACAGAAGATTCCCTTGATGTGTCTCTGTGTTCAGACTGAGACCATATTTCTCCCTTGATCCCCTTCCCTGCAGCATCACCTGAACTCATCCCTCCACTCCTCTCTTGTCTCACACCCTCTTCACTCTATGTCCTCTTAGTATTGGTGGGATCCTCTTCACTCTGATCCTCCCTCCATGTCTTCCTCTCTGCTCTTCC